GTTGTAATGTGACAAAATATGGAAAAGTTCAAGGGGTATGAATACTTTTGCAAACCACTGTAATCCTTAGATAAATGCTAAAATTAGCAATACTGTAGCTAAAAGATAAAAAAAACCTTAGCTACGATATAGACTTAGCTAAAAGCTACAAATCTTATTTACAAGCTAAAACAGCAAAATCTAGTAGTAGCTTTTGGTAAATCAAGTTAAATAATACAAAACCTGTAAAAGTTATGAAAATTAGAAGTCACAGCAGACTGTTGGTAAGTGTTCTGATACACGTATCGTTAAAATAAAACATGGATTAATAAAAACATTCAAAAGAATTTTGAAAGACACCTTTTCTTCTCCTCCCAGATGATCTACGAGGCCGGTGCTTCGTTTCCCCTCATCATGTGGTTGTGGGCGGGKCTTGCAGGGCTGGTCTTCATCAACTGTTTCGTTAACTGGCCCTCAGATGGTTTCCCGTCTCCTGGCGAGGTGGACTACAGGTCAGTACGACGATCCGCCGCCGTCCCTTCCACCTGAAGCACAGAGGTTTTCATCAGAACCGTGTTGTTTTATTTCTGCCACAGTAAGATCCTCACGAGGCAGGAGCTGCCTTCATCTGAGCAGAAGGCCGTGGGACGGAGTCTGAGTCAGAAAAACGGAGATGTTCACCACTCCACAGAGAAGCTGCCTAACGGAACTGAAGCTACAGCCACAGAGGAAAAATCTAAAGCTGCAGCCAGTGAGTCCCAACTAAAAACTCATGTTTGTGTGATGAAGAGCTAACCTGGTCCATCAGGGTAATCACTTCTTTTCTCCTCCTCGCTCTCAGATACGGTTCGTTTCCGCCGCTCTGTCTTCTCCCCCATCTTCTTGTGGAGTCTGGTAACGATGGGGATGACCCAGCTGAGACTCATCTTCTTCATGGGGGCGATGAACAAGATGCTGGAGTTCATGGTCACCCACGGCCAAGAGCACCGTAAGCCACCGACGACGACTAATTCTGTAGATGTTTTGTATTTTATTGTTGTTATGTAACAATGGAAAGGGTTAGAAAACATTCACATCTTTATTTTCTTCTGTTCATTTTTTAGCACGTATCTCTTGTGCTATTTGTACAATTTATATATCAAAACATTCAGCTCCTTTGGGACGTKCCAACTATGACGTTTGGTATTTCAGCAATTTATAATTTTTTAGATATTTAGTTGTTTTTTTTGCATTTTTTTCCACATTGAAATTGAATGGAGCCAACGTCAACATCCTTAAAACCTCAAAATGTTTATAAATCTTTGCCGTTTATTTTGCATTTTTTATTTTTACCTCTTTGTGCTAACTTCAGCTTCTATCTAGTTGAATTTAGCTTTTTTCTTCGTTCTTAGCTATTATTCTGATCTTTTCTGCTATTCTAATTTAATCCTTTTTGTGCTTCTTTCAGCTGTTTTCTGCTCATTTCTGTCATTTTCTGTTTTAAACTACCTTTAGCTAATTTCAGCTAATTGAGTTTTTTGTATTTTTCACTCCTGTTTCCCCATCTGTTTAGTTGAACTTGTTTCATCTACTTTTAGCTTATTTTTGCTCATTTTCGCTACTCTTCAGATTTTTTGCTTTTTTTGGTTTCTACKGATTTTTCAGTTTGTTGTCCTACTTTCAGCAAAGCTGTTCATGTTTAACTTGCATTAATTGTTTTGCTATGAAACTTTTCCAGCTACTTCTACAGCTTTCAGCAGAAATCTTTCAATATTAAACGATCACACTGTGTAACTATCGAAAATGCAATTTCTCAAGTTTAATAGTTGTTGTTTACTTTTCCAGCTTCTGATGATGTGGTCACTGAGTCCACGAATAAAGGTAAGGCAGGAAGTTGAACTGTTCATGCCTCGTGTAGCTTATTTGGTTGATTACATTGTGKTTTTTTTAATTAAAAAAATGTTATCTTTCAGTGAGTTTCTACTCGTCCATCTTCGGCACGCTGCAGCTGCTTTGCCTCCTAACGTGTCCTCTGATTGGCTACATCATGGACTGGAAGATGAAGGAGTGTGAGGAGGAGCAGAGTCCTGCATGTGGGTCGGAGCAGAGGTGCGTTCAGCGATGCTTAGGAAACAAGAAGCTSGTGGAGCTGAAGGCGGGGAGTCACACCAACATTATCACCTTTTGTCTTTTTTTGACGAGCAGACCTAAAAGGGACCGTAAGATCCAGAAGCTGACGAACGCCATGAGAGCTTTCATCTTCACCAACTCGCTGCTGGTCGTGTTTGGAATCTGCTGCCTGATCGATAACTTACCTCTGCAGGTGAAACCCTCCTGCTGCCCTCAGGTCAAAATGAACTGCGGGGCCTCGGTGCCGACATTTCACCCTCCTGTTCCTGTTTTTCCCTGCTGCAGATCCTGACCTTCGTCCTCCACACCATGGTCCGAGGCTTCATCCACTCCTGCTGTAGCGGCCTTTACGCTGCCGTGTGAGTGCTGCGCCGCTGACACGCCGCTCACAGCCCCAGGCGTGGAACGTTCCACAGTATTCCTGTTTGAATCACAACGCGAACATGAAAGCAGCCTCATGGCCGAGTTTTATTAGGTTTAAATTGTCAATATTAAAGATGTAGCGATAAAACTCTTTTCTGACTCATTGGGTGTTATTTTCTAGCACCTTATAAACACCTAACGTAAAGCAGGGCTTTACAATGTGATAAAAGCAACCAGATGTGGTAGAAAAAGTACAAAACTCTACGAGGTGACATTTTCCTTCTGGAGCTATAAAAAAACAGCCAATCTCTGGCTGTAATTATTATTTTACAGCAGAAATGTTTACACTAAATATAAACATCGGCTGCTTTACTGGATACGAGTGTTTTTCTGTGCGACTTCATTTTCAATCTCGTCTCCAACAGCTACCCGTCCAACCACTTCGGGACGCTGACGGGCCTCCAGTCGATGATCAGCGCCGTGTTCGCCCTGCTGCAGCAGCCCCTCTTCATCCTCATGGTGGGAGAGCTGAAGGGAGACCCCTACTGGGTGAGGAGCCGCACTTGTATCAGCACACACACACACACACACACACACACACACACACACACACACACACACACACACATACGACCTGAGCTGGTAAAAAGACAAGAAAGTAAAAACCACCGTCACACTTCAGTTTTAGGATTTGGGCTCAGTTCGACTCTGCTGCGGTGTAGGCGTTGACGTCGATGCATTTACTGAAACAACCTGTGGCAGTACAGTTTATAACAGAGATTCTTAACACATGGGCCGCAAGCGCCACCTGGAGGGCCTCAAAAGAACAACAGTTTTTAACTTTGGACCGCAGAGGGCCATGGGACCGCATTGGCTGTGTCTCAGTTCAGGGGCTGGGTCCTCATGAGTGCGCATTTGTCGGCCGCATACGTCATTGCCCCGTGCGGAGGACAGTCCCAATTCAAAGGCTCCTCATCATGCGGCTGAGGAATGCGTCCTACTTCCTGTCGAAATCCGAGGATGCATCCATGTATCCTTACCAGCCGAGGATATCCCAGGATTCAATGCGCGGGCAGCAAAATAAACTGAGAAATGAAGATGGTGGTGTTTTTATTTTTTTAATGTGTCGGCGCAGTTTGGAAATTCACCACTGACCGAAGGATTTGTTTTTTAAAAGTAAGTTTAGTAACTTAGCTGATGAAATTTATGCTGCAATAAGATGTTGAATGAAAGAAAATGCAACTACAAGTTACGAAAATAAAGTATTATAAGAATAAAATCATAACATTACGAATATAAAGTCATAATATTACGAGATTAAAGTCAGACAACAAGAAAAAAGTCTTAATATCCCAGCCTTTACGTGAAAAAGCATGCAGTCATGCATTAAAATGAGGATGCTGTCAAGTTATTCTTTATTGTTATAAATAAATAGTTATCTTTTAGCACCCAATTATCAGTAGCAGGACATGGAAATTGTGCAAACGACTATATGATAAACTGAAGCTGTATTGTAATTAATAGATGCATTGACAGATTTAGTCGTCACGTAGCTAATTTGGAAGAAATCATATTAATCTAACAGTGATCCAGGTCATCACAGACTACTTTATAAACACAGAAACACCTGGCTGTACACAGAAGGTATGAGGGGGAAAATAACTATTTAATTCAGCAAACAAATAACAAAAGAAAAACAAAT